ACTAATTATACATTTATAAAACATATATCTTAAAATTCTAAACCCTAAAAAATGTTTTGACACCTAAAACCCCCTAAACACTRAAAACTAAATCCTAATAGAACATAATTAACCCAAACATAAATAATATAAAGAAAAAACAATTTTGAAAAAGTGGCATTTTTGTAAAAATTTCAAAAGTGTGGCATTTTTGTAAAGTGACACTTGAAAAGTGGCATTTTTTGAAATTTCTCAATAAAAAATACCTATCTTCAGATATTCTTCAATAATACTTGACAATATTCATATTTCATATGCAGTCATTTCTCTTTTTTCTTGTAATAACTTTTCCTAATGTCTTCTTTTTAAAAAGCAAATTATGTTTTAAAAATAAGACTTGAAGACTTTTTTCTTTTTTTTTAAAAAGATTATAAAGAAATTTAGAGAGAGATTGTAGAGAGAGGTAATAAAAATTGCTCGTGTCCTGCTTCTGAACCCGAGAGTGGGTATTTATAGAGGAGCAGGCGAATCTTGAATTATTGCTTCAATGACTTTTGCGTATTTACTTTATTTCGTGCTTGCTACTGATTGGTTTGTTGTTTGACTTTATTCTAAAGTTGATAGGGTGAGTCAGAGTTGTCTGTCTCTTTTTGCTGTTAGGCTGCGATTGGTGCCGACATTGCAGCTAGGTCTTCTAGTGGGTCTTGAGGTGGGTCCCGCCTGTCGGGTGTCACTGTCTTCTAGAAAGTGGGGCCCGCCTGTAATGTTTAAATATTTTATGATATTTTTAGAGTATATCTTGTTCAGATATACTCTGTATCTTTATTTTATCGTAACCGGCTCATCCGGTATTCATATAATAAGTTTTTAAAATAATATACAGAGTTTACCAGAATATACATTATTTAAAAATTATACAACTATATAATATTATTGCCTTTTTTTTTTTTGAAAGATATATACAGATGAGGGTTCCCGGAAGTAACTGAGGCACAAAGAGACTTGCCAACGGACTTACGGCCTAACTGCGAGGACTTGCGGCCTGGAACATCATCCTTGTGAAAGAGCAACGAAACCCGAGGTTTTTTTTGTTTTTTTGAAGTTGTTTATTATTCATGCATGTCCTCAAAGGGATCTTGAGCTAAAGGGCCACCAAAGGGGGCGTTGGGATCTAGCGGAGTATCGTCTTGATTAATACTGTCTTCATCGTCGGAAGAAGCCAGGAGTTCTTGACTAAGAGTTTGAAGGGCCTTTTTCAGTTTTGCCTTTTTTTTGTTTTTTTGGGAAGAGTTTGAGCTAGTAGATTTCGTCGGGCTAGGCGTTTGGGAGGGTATGGTGATGGGTGGTATTTGAGTAAGTTGACTAGTGGTCAACAAAGGAATAGCTTTGGAGACATTCTTGACTAGAAGTTTGTCTTGGCGAGCGTTGCCAAAAAATTTGGTGATGTTGATGAGAGAGCAACGGTCGAGATTAAATTTATCCCACCATTTGACGCGATATTCCTTGATTAAAGAGTATGGCATATCAGGTAAGGTTAGGATAAGGTTGAAATGCCATGAACAAATCCATGGGAGGCCCATATAGGCGTGAAAGAGAATTTTTGGATAGGGGCCAATGGTGTTCTTTGGAATATATTTGAGGAAGTAGGGATAGGCGGTTTTGAGTAAGTCAGTTGGGTAAATCTGATCGCATGGTCCAAACCAGTGCCACCATTCGTAAAACCATCCTGGGACATAGGTATCGAACTTTTGATCGAAGGTGAGAAACCAGGAGTGGTCGTAAGGGCGTAGGCGTAGGTATAGAAAGCGGAACCAAGCATTTTGATAATCGGTATAGGTATAGCCGGGTATTGGGAATCCGGGTTGAGAAAAGGGTTTTGTAGTATGGAGATGTTAAAATCCTAGGTCTTGTAAAGGAGCGATGCGAAGTATTTTACAGGTGGAGTAAGAAATGAGGTTTGGGTTTGTTTTATCTGGGTAATGAGTAAGTTCGATAGATCTAGAGTCTACCAGAATATACTCATAGAAGGTACGGTTTTTGGTTACATTATCYGTTGGATAGAGACAATCTTCGTAGAAGATTCGGCTGGTAAAGTTCTGGAGTTCTTTGAGCTTAATAGGCTCAGGGTAATGGGTAGTGTATAGGTGTTGTTTTTGTGGTTTTAAGATGTATAGTGATTTTTGAGGAGGTGTTTGAGTAGGTTGAGAGGCCTGGCCTTTATCGGCGGTGACGGCTTTTGAGTAGGATAAGGGGGGAAATTCAGCGAGAGCTGAATATTGGTTTTGAATAGTAAGGGGTTTACCCTGAAGATGTGGTTG